GACATCATGTGGGCGCGGAAACACTTGCCATCTATTATGTTCGTCTTCTATTCGTAACACACACACACACACACACACACACACACACACACACACACACACACACACACACACACACACACACACACACTTACACACTTACACATACACACAGACACACATATATATAGGGTCATGAAAGTACCGTCAAACAGGGACAAGATAGAATTAGCTGAACTAGCAAAGACTATGAATAAAAAGAAGAGGGATGTACGGAAATTCAGTACTCAAATATTAAATGAAGCAGTGATTTCAGGTACCAGCATGAAAACACCTAAAAGGAGACTCGGAATAGGGAGAAATCAAATGTATGCAATAAAGAAATCAGACGGAGAAGTGGTATATAATAAGAATGGAATCATAAGAGTAGTGGAAGACTTTTATAGGGATCTATACAATCAAAATGAACAGCCACTGATAGAAGCGAACGCGGTAACTAGAGATGTACCTAACATCACAACATAAGAAATAAAATGAGCGCTTAAAGGCATGAAGAGAGGGAAAACACCAGGTGAAGACGGATTCAGTATAGACCTTATGATAGATGAAGAAGAAATTGCAACAGTGAAACTAGCCAATTTTTAAAACAAATGCCTTCTCAACGCAAAGAACGCCTGGAAAAATGCAACAATTATTTTGATACATAAAATGGGGATATAAAGGATTTGAAAAACAGGGAGTAGAGGAGGTATATTGTAAAATGTTGGAAGATATATACGAAGATGGGACAGCAACCATCAAGCTCCACACGGAAACCAATAAAATACCAATTAAAAAAGGTATTATACAGAGCGATACCATCTCACCAAAACTGTTTACAGCTTGCCTTGAGGAAATATTCAAGAAGTTAAAATGGAACGGAAAGGGTATCAAAATACGAATACCTAAACAATCTAAGATTTGCAGATGATATTGTTCTCTTCAGCGAATCTGCAAATGAAATACAGCAGCTAATCTGAATACAAAAAGCCTGAAAGACGGACTTAGGATGAACAAGAAAAATACTAAGATCATCTTTAACGGTAGTGTTCATTTCGAACATGTACAAGGCGAAGCGCTAGAGGTAGTGGACAAGTATATATACCTATGGTAACTCGTACAGACAAACACATCTAGTGAATAGGAAATTAAGCGACGCATCAGACTAAGCTTTAGCGCCTTCGGCGGACACAGTAGCATACTAAGAGACTCTTTGCCATTATGTTTAAAAAGAAAAGTCTTTAACCAATGCGTCCTCCCAGTTATGACTTATGGATCAGAAGCATGGACTACAACCAAATTACTGGAGAGGAAACTAATAAGTGCCCAGAGAGGGATGGAGAGATAGATGCTGGGAATTAGCCTAAGAGATCGATGAAGGCGACGTGGATCAAGGAACAGACAAAAGTGGAAGATACTTGTGAGCATCAAAAAGAAAAAATGGCAATGGTCATATATTTCGGAGACAGGACGACAGACGGACAAAGAAAGTAATAGACTGGGCTGTAAATAACACAAAGAGGCCAAGGGCTAGACAAAGTTGGAAACGATTGGGAGAGGCCTGCATTCTGTTTGGATTGATTCAGGCTGATGATGATGATATATATACTGTCTATGTACACACACACATACATATGTGTTTATATATATGTACGTATGTATATGTATGTATATACTGTATATGTATGCACACACACAAACACACACACACACACACACACACACACACACACACCACACAACAAGGCGTGTCACTGCGAATGTTAATATTAGCGATAATAATAATAACAGTAAAGCTGATGATGGTATTACCTATGAAAATGTTAATGATAATAGTAAAGATTGTGATAATTATTGCATGTTTAGACATATTAACACAATTATTAGCATTAGTGAGTACAAACGGCGTGTCAACTGGAGCTTTTTTTATCCTGTACCTAGCTTCGCGTCTGCCAGGGATGTTTGCCCAGCAGACTGCATTGCCATGAGCTATGTTATCATTTACATTATCTAGTCTCACTGACAGATAAACTCGAATCTCTTTATTTTTGCAAGAATTCACTTATGGCAACGTCTACCTGTGTATGCAAAAGTATATATCAATGTTTTTCGACTAATGTTCCCTCCGTAACCCAAAGCGAGGTTTCGGCAAACACTTGACATTAAAGTGTTCCTGGTACACGGTGATGTAAAGTATGTATACCGATTTTTTTTATCACTATTTAAACATCCCCTCCCACGTTCTCAGACCATTCTGTCCATTATACTGACGTCATACAAATATACAGTGACGTCAGCAATTCCCTCTCCTCTCCCATGCGCACTCCGAGGCCTCGGAACGCAGACGACTGCTGGAGGAACATCCGGGAACCCTTCATGTGTGTTCTTTCTTTCCATTTTTCATGTTACGTACATACACAACTTGGAGTTTTGACTCGAGTAAAGACAAAAAATCTATTTGTTTCTCTGATCAGAATAAAACCTTCGATGTGGTATTGCATAAAGTTCTCCTTAAGATTATGACTGAAATAGAATCTGTTAGGAACAAGCATGATAATCAGAGAGCTAATTGCCAGTCGTAAGGCTGTTACAACAGAAAAGATAATTGCTGCAATCATTGATATTTTCATTTGCAAACTACCGATCGGAATGATGGATTCTCAATAAAAATGAAAAGAGAACAAGAATTTGACAATTTTGAAATATGGAGTTACTGACGACTATGAAGAATCAGCTGGAGAGAAGACGCGAGCAATGCGTGAGTCCTTGACAAAATTCACTAAGAAGACATCTAAAAACCGAAGAAAAAAGGAAAATGTCGTGAGAGACAATAATAGGGACTTTTTTTTATAGAGCTGGGAAGTGATCTCCAAAGGGCAGTTCACTGTGTACTTTTCGTCTAGTCCTATATATAAAAAATGATAGATATGAAGGTAGGTAAGGGGGGGATGGATGGAGAGAGAGCCTGTAATTTTCAAGTAGATATTTTTTCAAGCAATATTCAATTTTGTTTCTTTGGGGCCATTTTTTAAAAGTTGGAAGCAAATGTTCTGATAATATTTATGAGTTTTTGAATGCGAATGCATATACAGTGGTGCTATTATCGAAACGGTTAGAATATATAGACTAAAGTAAACACAAACGTAACGTATGATTTGTGAGGAAAGTTGTTCAATAAAGTATAGGAAAAGAAATAATGCAATAGGTCGGTTAACCTTAACCGCAAAAGTACGATTTTTTTTTCTTTCCTTTTTTGCAGTGTTTATTTAGGACACCAAAACCAGTACCTTATTTGTTTTAAAGGTTGTCAATGTTTGTCATGTAGTCATATTTCCTAGCCTTATCCGTTGGTCAACCTGATTTCAACGCTCATAAGGTACTTATCTTTTATTGCAACACGAAAGTTCTCAAAATGTTTAGTCATTCCGTTTGTATACTCACACTTGGGCTAGTCATGTTCCTTTTAGCGCCTGTTGTGTTTTTTTTTTTCTTCTTTTTTCGTAAGGCCAAACGCTATTGAGGGAATCTACCTCTACAGTGCCATATATGTTCGTACAACTTTCACCGAATCACCAAGTAATGGAATATACGGGGAATTTAACAGAAGTAGTTACAATGCTTTTTTTTTCTAATAAAGAAAGATTATTGGCAGGCAACTTGGTATTCCCCATGCGTCCGAAAATTATCATCATCAACGTGAAAAATGCGTCATACTGAGTCAGCGGTTTTCAAGGAGTGCCGAGTCATCACTACTCAGCATGAATCCCAGGTCGTCAGTCCGAAGCGCGGGCATCCGGCCTTCCGAGCAGCTCCAGACTTTCTCTTCAGGGATCGTCAAGTTTATCTGGCTGGGCTGTTGATAGCGATAAGCATGTTGCAAGGAGGGCAGAGTTAACAATTCCAATGTTCACATTAATTATGGTGTTAATAATTGCTGGAAAGATGATTAAAGTCAATACTAGTTGCAATACTGGTATTCGATGATACGAATCATAATGGTAACAATAATGCCTATAATGGTAATACAGTGATATGAGAGCAATGAAAACTATAGATAATAATAATGATGTTGATGGCAAGAACAATGATAGGAATAACAACACCAATAATAGTTATAGTAATGATAACAATAATGGTGGTGATTATTGCAACAGCTTTAGTAGCTACACCAATACTGATAATGACAGTAACAATATAATTATTATAAAGGCAAATATTGATAATTTTGATAGTATTGATAACAAGAATATAATAATAGTGATAATGATAACTGGTTATACTGATATTACAGAATATGATTATGAACACATCAAAATAAGTGTATTAGAAAATTCAGTACCATGAGCACGATTCCCAAAACACTTATAGTCTTATTACCAAGGTTCAAGTGTACAAAATTTGTCATTAAGAAATAGACTTACGCGATCCAGTAAGTAAATAGATAAATCAATCAATAAAAGATACTTAAAAATAAAAGTTGAAATTGAAGGCGAAACCTGAGTACAAGTCGACTGGAAATATGATATAGTAAGAACTAAATACATAAAACTGCAAAGGTACAATATCTTACGTACATGACACGAGGTGAGGAAGTTAAACCTCACCTTCATATTCTCCCTCACGGACCCGCAGCTGGGAGGCCATTCCTGTAACCTCTCAGATTTCAGTCTTCCAGGAGGCGGGAATTCTGATAAACTGTGCAAACTCATGCTTATTTTCGTTTTATTTTTGATAAATCCTCTTGAAGTGGGCGTTTGTTTGTGTGTGTGTGTGTTTTAATGTATGAATGTGTGTCTATGTGTTTATGTTTATGTATGAATGTGTGTCATTATGCACATTTAAATTGATTTCTAATATCTTCCACAAGTTTTCCTCACGGATGTACGAAAAATACCCCCTCGGTTTTTGTCAGTGTTTCGCAATGTTGACACTGGAACGGGTATTTCGGCCATGTATACCTTACCTGAGTCCTAAGTTAGCACATGGGCGATACTGAACCTTCAGTTGTCTCGAAGCATCTGTTGGGAAAGGAGCTTCTACTCAAGGTATTGTCGCAGCTTACCTAGCTTTGTATCTTTTAATTTTGATGTTAGGATAATTTTGCTTTGCTTTTTCTTTTCCTTCTTTCCTTTTTTTCAGTAAGTGGCGAAAAATGGGACATTTTGTGCCTTTCTATCCAAACGTTAGAAAAATGACGGATTCAATGTTGACTTAGTGATGATTTGTGTGTATTACTTATGCATTACCTATTCATTTTGATTTAGTTATTTCGAAACAAAAGTTATTTGACTAAAACTTCAATTCACTAAAAATATATGATATTCGAGAGTCGTTTTTACCTCTCTTTCAGTCGCACGATACTTTTCAATAATAGGAGTGATTACAGCTTTCCTCGGACAATCCTTGGGTGATTAGGTTGTTTATGTGTAAAGAGGTTTTGAGAATTTTGATGATTTAATCAAATATTATCGGGACAGCTGTTGAAGGATCGTATGTTTGGGTGTTGTTCAGTGATTTTTTTTAAAGATAACAGTGAGAGCTATATTGTATGATTTGAACATGTACGAACGTAAACATGGTATGTGTGCTTTCGCATAAGTGCCTTTGTGCATGAGTGACTGTATTCATGAGTGCTTGAAAGTGTTTAAGTGTAAAGGGAAGGTCGTGGAATTATGTGAAAACGTTTATTTAGAAGCACGTTTTGAGTTCTACCTGCTTCTCTCTCTCTCTCTCTCTCTCTCTCTCTCTCTCTCTCTCTCTCTCTCTCTCTCTCTCTCTCTCTCTCTCTCTCTCTCTCTCTCTCTCTCTCTTTCCCTCTCTCTCTCTTTCCCTCTCTCTCTCTTTCCCTCTCTCTCTCTTTCCCTCTCTCTCTCTTTCCCTCTCTCTCTCTCTCTCTCTCTCTCTCTCTCTCTCTCTCTCTCTCTCTCTCTCTCTCTCTCTCTCTCTCTCTCTCTCTCTCTCTCTCTCTCCCTCTCTCTCTCTCTCTTTCCCTCTCCCTCTCCCTCCCCCTCCCTCTCTCCCTCCCTCTCCCTCCCTCTCCCTCTCTCCCCCTCTCCCTCCCTCTCCCTCTCTCCCCCTCTCTCTCTCTCTCTCTCTCCCTCTCCCCCCCCCCTCTCTCTCTCTCTCTCTCTCTCTCTCTCTCTCTCTCTCTCTCCTCTCTCTCTCCTCTCTCTCTCTCTCTCTCTCTCCCTCTTCCTCTCCCCCCCCCTCTCTCTCTCTCTCCTCTCCCTCCCCCCCTCTCTCTCCTTCTCCCTCCCCCTCCCCCCCCTCTCTCTCTCTTCCTCTCCCTCTCCTCTCTCTCTCTCTCTCTCTCTCTCTCTCTCTCTCTCTCTCTCTCTCTCTCTCTCCTCTCCCTCCCTCCCTCCCTCTCCCTCTCTCTCTCCCTCTCCCTCCCTCCCTCCCTCCCTCCCTCCCTCCCTCCCTCCCTCCCTCCCTCCCTCCCTCCCTCCCCTCCGTCTCCCTCTCCCTCTCCTTCTCACTCATGTGCAAGTATGTTATACTTATATTTGTTTATACTTTCACGCATCCGCTTCGATGATATCAGTAATAATGATTCTGATTAATTTTGTCATCCAACTATGTTCTGGAATATTTTATACACTGACTTTGATATATGCTGTTTAGCATTAAATGTTTTCACAAAGTATCCCAGAGGATCCTTCATAGTAGCAAGAAGTGAAACAATTTTACGATATTTTAACATTCCTGAGCGAATTTCTTTGGGAAGGACAGAATGAACTACCAATGAAAGAGTTAATTTCACTCACAGAAAATGGGATTAAAATTTTAGTGACATCCAGACATCAAACGTTAACTTTCGGAAACACACATCCATATGTGCACAAAATTATATCATCACATCATTCTTGTTGTTATCATATCCTTTTTTCCTACTGTGACATAAAACCTAATTGTATTCCTAACCACAGATGGCTGCAGTTGTATCAGGTGGCGGGTCTACCAGCTACCTCTCCCAGGTGGTAATGCAGATGGTGCTATTGGTCCTCCTAACTGCGGGCAGAGCGAGGGCCGATGCACCTATCGTAATGGGCGTGCAACTGTTTGTCAATAACACGCCCACGGAGGTGTTGGATACCACTGAGAAGGAGACGTTAGTAGTGAGTTTCCAGTTGGATGCCCTGCCTGAGGACGCGTCTGGGCTGGTGGTTGTACAGGTAGGAAAGCCATTCACCCGTACCTCTTTCCGCATTTAAGCATTTAAACTCGTGTTCCTTCAATAATGATTTTGCTTATATAGAATTTATCTCAAATAAATAAACAGTATTTATTTTTTCTTCCTAGATTTAACCTATTGCTATTAATAATACATTTAAATATGCACACCCTGTGTTGAATACTCCATCTATCCGTATACAGTTTCTTACTTATCCGTAATCACAAAGGATCTTAAAACTTCATAACCTCCCTTTCCGTTATCTTCCAAAAGGAGAACAGCGCCGACAGTTTCGGACACGTGAAAATATGGCCGGATAGCTTCCCCTTAAAGGAAATGGAGGGTGATCTAACGGACACATTCAACATGACGGGGACTTTCCTCGGGTTTTCGAAGCTTCAGTTCCTGTTGGTGGCTCCCGATGGAGAGCTACGGGCGCTGAGCAATGAGACTAATGTTATGGTAGGTGGAGGATAGTTTGGCAAGGCGGGCAGGGGGTGGGGGGTGGAAGGGAAAGGAGAGAGAAAGAGGGAAGAAGAGAGAGAGAGGGGAGGGAAGGAGAGAAAGAGAGGGAGGAAGAGAGACGGATGGAGGGAGACTGAGAGAGAGAGAGAGAGAGAGAGTGAGAGACAAATAGAGAGACAGTTAAAAGAAAACATGATTTTTTTTCCCGTCCCTCTGCAGGTCCAGCGCGCAGACAAACTTCACGACCAGATCTTCACAGCAGCCATGATAATTTTAGTGGCCATCGCTTATATCAACATGGGATGTGCCATTGACTTGGAAATCATTAAAAAGACACTGAAAAAGCCTGTGGCGCCGGCTATAGGCCTAGCATCGCAGTATTTATTTATGCCTCTGGTAAGTGCGTTCGACATTGGCAAAAAATAAGTAAAAAGAATATATAAGAAAATATAGAATTTGGAAGTAATCGATATTTTTAAGTATATTGTCCCAAATAAGGATTAATTGCCAGTTCTAATCAATACTGCCAGTTGCCAGTTCTGATCAATACTGACTCACGGAAAACTGAGGAGTGGCACTGCAATGTTGTACGTCTCAGTCAGAGCAGTGTTCTTATTTTTTTCAAAACGCTTTTGAGGCTGCCCATTGTCTTTTTTTTCTATCATTCTTGTAATCTGTCTGTTTCTTCATAAAAGATTTTTGTAAGTATATTAACCTCAAAATTGTTCTACAATACAGTTTTAGTAAGTGATTAGCACAATGATATTTAATTTGAAGCAATTCAAGAAAACGCTGTACCACTCAAGGATTTTTATCTAATTCTCTTTCATGAAATAAAAAACTGTTCAAATCCATGAGTTAAGTCCTGTAGCAGTATAACAAGCGCAACAAAAAATCGACACTTTCGTTTAAGCTCCCGAATCTCTTTAATCTCTTTAATAGCAAACAGGAAAAAATCACATTTTGTTTAGTGTTACCACAGATCCCAGTGGGGATAACGGTACCTCCTTTATAGATATCTTGGGTTAGCCCTTCTTTGATTTCACTTAACATTAATTTTTACAATGGCTTCAGTAGCTCTGAAGTAAAAAAAAGACTAGCAGACCTACATTAATTTTAGCCGTTTAGCAAAAAAGTACAAACAGGATCTCAAATACACGTACTCAAAGGTTACAGACATCGTTAGTTGAAGAGCAATATGCATAGCTTTGAATCCAGATTTCATATTATACCACGAGAAGCTCATGGGTATATATTAGACACAATGTAATAAAGACAATAATGGTGTAATAATGGTGTTTTAGACTATGCCATCTACGAAGTTACATTATTGATTTTAAAAGATGTGGCTTGTGTATAGAAGATGACTAATGAACTTTTTGTGTATTTTTTTTTACCTTCTGATGGTTCGCAATCCTTTTGTTATTATTACTACTATTACTATTACTATCATTATTTCGTTATTTTTGTTATTATTATTATTATTATTATTATTGTCATCATTGTGTTTATTAATGTTATTATTGCTGTTATTTTGTCATAGCTATTATTGCTGTTATTTTGTCATAGCTATTATTGTTGTTATAATGTATTCACATTATTTATTTTCATCTCTGTTTTTTATTTTATTCATTTATTTTTATTTGTCGATTTATTTATTTCATTTACTTTTATCATATTCTATCTATTTTTGTATCTATTCATTTATTTATCTATTTATTCTTTGCCAGACGTCTTACACGCTGGGATACTTTCTGTTCAGTGACTCCCCTGCGCTGTGGCTTGGGCTCTTTATCATCGGCTGCTCTCCTGGCGGCGGAGGCTCCAACGTCTGGACGTACATGCTGGGCGGTTCCCTTGACCTCTCCGTCACCATGACCTTCGTGTCCACCGTAGTTGCTTTCGGGGCCTTGCCTATGTGGGTGTACATGCTCGCCAGCACCATTTTCCAAGGTTGGTTGTGAGGGTGTGTGTGTGTGTGTGTGTGTGAGTGTGTGTGTGTGTGTGTGTGTGTGTGTGTGTGTGTGTGTGTGTGAGTGTGTGTGTGCGTGTGTGTGTGTGTGTGTGTGGGTGCGTGTGTGTGAGAGAGAGAGAGAGAGAGAGAGAGAGAGAGGGAGAGACAGACACACACACACACAGAGAAAGAGAGAGAGAGAGAGAGAGAGAGAGAGAGAGAGAGAGACAGAGGGAGAGAGAGAGAGAGAGAGAGAGAGAGAGAGAGAGAGAGAGAGAGAGAGAGAGAGAGAGAGAGAGAGAGAGAGAGAGAGAGAGACAGACAGAGGGAGAGAGAGAGAGAGAGAGAGAGAGAGAGAGAGTGAGACAGAGACAGAGGGAGAGAGAGAG